TGGTGCAGCCCTGGTCGTTTCCCTCAGCCCTCCTCTAGCTGCGCTGGCCAGAACTCTGCAGGCAAAATGGCGCTCCACCTGGGGTTTTGCTGAGCACAGCCCCTGGGCCTTGGAGCGTGTCCCTGCCGCGGGCTGGTTGGTGCCGGGCAGGGGCGCAAGGAGGGGGACAGGCCGTGCCGCCCTGCACCGGCCTTCCCCTCGCCTGGGCTGGGTGCAGCGGGCAAGATGGGCAAGAGGGGGGAAGAGCTCCGTGCCGCCCGTGGTCGTCGTCGCTATGGCACGGAAGTGCACAAGATAAATAAGCGGGGAGCGTGCTCTCTGCCAAGCAGCTCTTCCTGGCAGGGTGGCACTGGGGTTCATCAGTTCAGAGCCCTGTGCGGGGCCTTGTTTTGGATTTTCAAAATCTATTGTAGCCTCGTGTGTGAGAAACGGTGTTTTCACGGCTCGCCGACGCCTCTCGGGAGGAGCAGGGGATACACAGACAGAGGGCAGAAAGGGGAGGATTGATGGTGGGTATTTTGGAAGCCGTCCTTCGTGCAAAAGACGCTGCCTACTTAGTTGGGAAGTATTTTGTCATTTTATAAAGCATCCATTGTAAAAACATCTGCGTCAGTCACTCCACACACATGAACAACAATTATAATAATCCCAGCCCGATTGCCCGGAGATATTAGCTGTTCTTACAAACAGCCAAAGTGGGTGGAAATTTCAAGAGCTGCAGAAGAATAGGAGTCTAAATGACGCTGTAGATTTTAAACCTACAAAATTTTCAAATGCAGTATCATCCCCTGTTATTTTCTGTGGCTTCGCAGATGGATTTTCATCTGGTTTGACATGTGAGGGGGGTGGTTTGTTTTTTTTTTTCCTCCATATTTGCTGCGTGCAAAACAGACGCAAACCAAAGAAGAAAGTGCCCGGTGATGGGTCTGGGCCAGCGGCCGCTGAGGTTAGTGGCAGTCTTTCCACTGACCTCGGGTGGCTTGCAGCCCAGCCGTAAATACCGAGGGATACAGCAAAACACATAATTTTGTATCAAAGTGCTATCATATGCTCATAAAAATAGAAGAAAAATAAGAGATGTTTCCTCCCCTTGCAATCTTTTGGAATTACAGTGATCGGAGCTGTTACTTGGGAAGCTTGAATGCAGCGGGAGCGGACGGATGCAGACATCGACTGCGGGGCCTGCCTGCCGATTTCAGAGCCCGACTACCACTGCCTCATGCTTTCAGATCTGTCCCCAGCCTGGTGATCTGCCTGTTGCTCCCACCACTGGGAAACCCTCCATGAGAAGCACCTTCGGCTTCAGCGAAGCCCTCCACAACCCTACAGGAGAGACGTAACTGGCCCTAGGAGGTGGCGAGCCCTCTGGACTTGCCCACAGCCACGTAATGTTTTGTGCGGTGCCC